AATCTACAATACGGTGAAGTAGGTGTTGTAGGCATGCGTGAAAAGGCGTAAGAAATCAAAAATAATTCATTTTGCTTACGCCCTTACTCCAGCTCTATTAAACCGGAAGTAGCTCTCTTACGCCTACTCTTAAGCCTCCGCTACAATGATTCTCGGTTCTGTCTACAATGGTCGTAGTCGTAGTCGTTCTGACTGAATTGACCAATCGCAGTCGATTATTTTTACGACTACGACCATTGTAGACAGAACCGAGAATCATTGTAGCGGAGGCTTTACTTCTTACTCCACGCTTACGCCGGTTATTGTAGACGCCGCTTTAGGGTGCGGCCACATGGATTGATATCTTTCGCGTAACGCGTATCGCGTAACCAATGAATTACGACGATTGACATTTCCGTTGGAACATTCCAAAAGAATGAACGATATGATTCGTTACGCGATACGCGTTACGCGGAAAAATCAATCCATGTGGCCTTAAGCCTCCGCTACAATGATTCTCGGTTCTGTCTACAATGGTCGTAGTCGTAGTCGCTCGATAAGAATTGGCCAATCGCAGTCGATTATTCTTACGACTACGACCATTGTAGACAGAACCGAGAATCATTGTAGCGGAAGCTTTAGCCTTATTGTAGACGACACTTTAGATTCTCGTGGGCAAGTATCACTTTGACTATAGAAACCTGGACTGCTAGTCTCCGCCCCTTTCTATTGTTAAAGGATGTAATAAGGATAGGTTAGGTTTAAACTCCGCCTTTTGACCAAAAAGCGGTAAATTTAAATGTGTAATATGGGAACTTTGAATGGGAAAGATGTAGGTTAACAAAACAAAAAGCTTTTGAAGTAAATATAATATCACAGTTTATCAAACATAAAAGAATACACCTTTCAACTAGGTGACTAGAACATAATAAAAGAATACACCTTTCAACTAGATGACTAAAACATAACATAAAAGAATATACCTTTCAATTAGGTGACAATATATCATAAAACATAAAATAAAAGAATTAACTGTATATAAAACTGTATATAAATAGAATAAAAATAATTTGTAGAAATGCGAGTTTTACAAAAAATTAACTTGTGAAACCTGTTTCACGTTGCATGAACATAATTGTAATTTTAACATTACTGGCCTTTAAAAATATTCATTTTTGTATTGGTATGACGAACGAAATGATTATGCAAGCGTAAAGTGGCAGTTTTTCCGTAGTAATACAATTTAACATCTAAATATAACTTAATGATTAATTTAATTAATTCATATTTATGATTTTCGAGAAAATCACAATGTTGAACACGACAATCGAAATTTAAAAAAAAAATTATTATTAATGTGCAGGTGTCATTTTATTATTTTTACACTTTATTTGTACAATTGTCGATGTATACTTATTGATATACGTTAACATTGAACGTTCATATTAATGATTTACAATGACAACACAATACGTAATTATATATATATATATATAAAACTATAGTATATGATTATAATATAATTCAAAATAACGAAAAAAAGGGCTCTAAGCCGTGACAGGATGTTAGTGTCGAATAAAATTTTATTGTTATATTAACATAAGTAATAATTAACTCCATAGGAATCCTATGTATCCTTAATATAACAATCCTTAATATAACAATAAAATTTTATTCGACACTAACATCCTGTCACGGCTTAGAGCCCTTTTTTTCGTTATTTTGAATTATCATACAAGCCTTTGACATATATGTATATATAACATAATTCGTTGCTTAATAATAATGTTACAATATAAATCATAATTAATTAAGATATTGACTATTTATAATTCAACGATCGTATTATATTTTCACATATTTTACCATTTTACCTGTATAATTTCAAAAGCATTCTCGGAGAGATCAAATTTTTTTTGCAGTTCACGTATAGCTTTTCTAAACTTGATATTTTCTTTTTATGACGAAATTCATTAACTTTCAGTTTTTGTATAGTTTTATCTTTTGCTTTGCAAGCAGACTTGAGTAATCGAATGCAATTACTTTTCGTGGTTGGGCTCATTTGTTCCACAAGTTCATCTTTAATATCTCCAGGGTATCTGTAAATCTTTCTCGGAGTGTTCAGTATATTAGATGGTAGGGACGTATCTGCTTTATTTTCTGTAATCAAACTGCAAAAGAACATTGTTATTAATTTCATGATTCACATAATGTATTAGGAATAAAAATATTAGCCAGGAAGATAAGAGAAGTATTAAATTTATTTTTAATTAATTTATGAAACATTTTACCTCGTCCGTTGCGAGTTATTTTCAGACTCTGGATTCATTGATGTTTTATTGACTGGAATCCATTGATCAGCAATCACATGCGCGTTTGATGATTCACTATTTGAATCTTTTACTGCTGTAGTTAATTTTTCAATTTTGAGACGCTTTATCGATTGTGGAATGCAATGATCATCAGTGATATTTGCATTTGAAAACTCGTCATCAACATTTAAAGTTGGTAGTAACTGCATCATACC